GTACACTACCGCCAGTGTATTTATGTACAGTATTTTGATCTTGGAAATACAAGTTATTTAATTTCTTTCAGTAAGCTGTCCTGGATTCGGGGAATACACACCCAGTTTACTAACTGGACCCATGAAGGTCACAGACGTGACAAACTACCAGCTCTTCTGCCGACAGCTTACTGAAAGAAATTAAATAACTTGTATTTCCAAGATCAAAATACTGTACATAAATACACTGATGGTAGTGTACTGTGCATGAATGATTCGAATCCAGGAAAAAAGTCACAAGAATAAAGTCACAGATAAAAAGGCACTGAAAAAACCTAACCTAACCTAACCTAACCTAACCTATCCTATTGTGTTGTCAATGTGTACAAGTCATGTGACTTTATTTCCGTCCACTGTATTCCCCATTCAGTTTTATTTTTTCTTCAGTTTCCCACCCAGTCTTGCTGGTAACTTCTGCATTGGATGGGTAATTGTCATTTCAATAACCAATATTTTGTTAATTACTTATAATTGAAGAAAGAAACCGACTGCAAGCGAATGAATTTTGAATATTTTTCTCACACCTAAATTCACGTATTTCACGCGTTGTGTACCGTTCGTTTATTTTCCCCAAAAGACTATTGTGAGCATACTATGATCATAACAGCTTTAAGAACAATACCAGATTTTAAAATCTATACATCTCCTTCATATTACAATAATATTCCTCTCTATAATAGTCTTAATTAGTTATTCGGCTTCCTTTCTTGGTAAATGGTGAATTGTATTAAGACAATGCATCATTGCAGTTCAGCAGGTGAATAGACAACGTAGGTATTAGTGTACACTACAGTCAGGGCCGGATTCAGGAGTGGGCAAAGTGGGCAGCTGCCCAGGGGCCTCCACAATCTGGGGGCCTCCACATATTACAATATTTTATTTATTTGTATATTCATTTGGATTATTTTTATTTTCAATCCTTAAAATTCATGTTTATCTATTCCATCACGTAAAACTATGTTCAGCAAGAAGCGTGATAGAAATTAGGCTAGCTACTCCTTGAAATTCATGAATAACTGGTTTTCCTATGAACCGTATATTTTTAATGAATGCTATTGTTTGTGTTGCTAATAATATATTTAGAATTCCTGAACGCCCAGATGCTTAGGCTCGCTTCACTCGCCACCCCACCCTCTTGGGTAGTTATAATGAGGGGGACCTCCACAGGTCTAAATCCGGCACTGTGTACAGTACATAGAACGTACTGTACAGGCAGGGCCGGATTTAGGAGTGGGCAAAGTGGGCAGCTGCCCAGGGGCCTCCACAATCTGGGGGCCTCCACATATTACAATATTTTATTTATTTGTTTATTCATTTGGATTATTTTATTTCATTCTTTAAAATTCATGTTTATCTATTCCATCACGTAAGACTATGCTCAGCAATAATAATATATTCTTTTCTGTGAAGTCTCTTGAAAATTTTTGACATGTGCGGTAGTAGCTATATCAGGGCTGGTCGACTTGAAACCACATGAATGACTCCAGTCGTGTGTGTGTTGGGAATTTGTACACTATCAATAAATATACAGTTAATTAAAAATTTCTCAATGTTCTAATTTCCTCATTATAACTGCATATGGCTTCAAAATTCTCCAAAGAAGTGTTCAAATTACAAAATTTTCCCGAGGGGCTTACAGCGCCCCCCGGAACTCCCAGATGTTTAGGCTCGCTTCACTCGCCACCCCACCCTCTTGGGTAGTTATAATGAGGGGGGCCTCCTCAAAGAGGCTGCCCATGGGCCTCCACAGGTCTACCGGCACTGTGTACAGGTATATAATTTCCAGTGTATTGTACTGTTCCTATTATAGACAGTGAAGATATAAAACAGTAATAAGTAGCAAGGGAACCCTACCACGGATAACTGGCAGAAGATGCTTATTTGCAGCTAGGGTTATTTTTTTTTTAATATTTCATCTCTGTTGTGTACCATACAGGTATATATAATGTCTCCTTACATGTTGAAGCAATTTGAACAATAGGCGGTTGTTTACGGAATAACTGTCTATCTACTGTATACTCCAAAGCTAAAACGAATAGTAAACATTTTATCAAAGAAAACGTAATATTGGCATTCTAATACAACCGACTATTTGAACGACAACAATAACGCTCTGTTGTATCTGTTAAATCCTGTGGAACTGTAAGGAGAAAGCTTTCATAAACCTGTCATCAAAGACTTGGCCACCAAGGCCTATATTCTTTGGTGTTTTAGGGACCAGGTGACTTCGTGTACCGTCTGGTTGTCAGTTAAGTAGGTTTTTTGAGACTAGCACCAAAAGGAGGTGATAAAATTGTACGAAACTTTATAGAAACGTTAAATACAATCTATTAAATAGATAAATGGGAACGAGGGTAAAATTATCTTTAAGGCCATGCTCCCATGCACCTATTTGGAAGTAGATCAGAATCATTGAAAACACATCATAAACCATCGGAAAAATGTCACATAACCTAACAATTCAAAAATTTGCTGCATGACCGAAACTATCATAATACCGGAAATAAAATATATTCAGTGTCGTTAGGTATGTTTTAAAAGGTTTTATTGGTGAGTTAGAAAGGTTTAGGTAGGTTACTTTAGGTTAGGTTGGATAGGTCAAGTTCAAATACTCTTAGTTGCTGTGCATTCTTGTTTCCATTTATCTATTTAAAAAATTGTAATTAACGTGTCCACATGGTTTCGTCCAATTTTATCGGCTCCTGCTGGGGTCAATCTAAAAAACCTATCTAACCAGTAAACAGACATATATCCACATCTTGACTTTATAATTTCACCAGTTACAGATTAATTTTATACTGGACCCGAGTCGTTAAGGATAAGTTTAAATTGATACCATCATCGGTATGGAGATCACTACTGTACTTGACAGCACTATACCTAATCGATCTGCCATTGTAATAGGGTTTAAAAATTATAAGGTTCAATGCCGCTGTGCACACAATTGTCACTCATCTTGCACAGTGGCCATGAAAATGTAAGAATGTAGTTTGGGATTCACAAAATTGAATTGGGTTAATTTATTGGATGCTTTGGTTAACCAACCACCTAAGGGAACATATCTATTGATGAAAACTTATTTCTTATCTCAAAAATAAAGCCAAACAGTTGGAAGAATGTCACTTTTCCTTTTCAGGTGTATTTACCCCAGTTCATCCTTCTCATAGATAAAGATGACATTGCTGCTTTGTTTAGATGAGCATCGGGATAATGTCTTCATCAAAATGTTTCATAGACATTAATAATGCAGCAGCAGCAGCAAATAAATTTTATTTTTTTTTGTAAACGATGATGATAAAGTATTCTTTTTAATGTTAAGAATAATAATAAAATTAATTACTGTAGTTCTGTTTAAAAAAAAATGATGACACTTATTATTAATGATAGTAGTAGGATTTGCAATTTTTCTAATAATGTTATGTACATTTACAGTAATCTCCCATTTAGCCGGAATAATTTGTGCAGAGTAGTTACGGGTTTGAGAGATTTCCAGGTACTGAGACAAATTTTCTCATCCTGTAATTTTTCCGGGTACATACAGTACTGGTGAAAGTTTTCCGAGAGTCTAAACTATGTATCTTACACGGAGCGGCTTAACTTCAGTTGGACAGACACAGCACTATCTTGGTATTTATTTATGCAAACACCACTGTACACATACAGTGTTGCAGTGCTAATTCTTAAGGTTCCGGAGCTGTCAAAATAATTTCCGTTTCCTAAACCGTATCTATTGATGCATATATATATATATATATATATATATATATATATATATATATATATATATATATATATATATATATATATATATATATATATATATATATATATATATATATATATATATATATATATATATATATATAGAGTGAGTTCTGCTATAACGCGTGTTTTGATAACGCGAATTTGCTCTAACGCGATTTATGAATTAGGAACGATATTTGTATAACGCGAACGCTTGTTTGCTATAACGCGATTTTTGCTTACTATTTCTCCAATTTTGTGGTACTGTAACTGTGAATATAGTAAAGAAGAATATCAACAAGAAGCGTTCTGGTGATAGAATTCCCGGTGATGATCGTAAAAGAAAGGATATAACACTTGAAGAGAAGCTCGATTTTATCAACCTCAAAATCACCCTTCTCCCCCATCAAGTAAAGTGTTACATTTACTGTATGATTTCATTATTAGATATGAATGTAACATTTATTTAGACTGTGTTAGGCTAACTACTAAATTTTTTCGATTTCGAGTAATCTGCACCTAACCCTATTTTCTCCATAAGCCCTGTTATTTCTATTACGCGATTTTCTATAACACGATATTTTACAAGAACACAATTATCAAGAGTAGCAGAACTATGCATATATATATATATATATATATATATATATATATATATATATATATATATATATATATACATACATATACATACATACATACATACATACATACATACATACATACACACATACATACATACATACATACATACATACATACATACATATATACATACATATATATATATATATATATATATATATATATATATATATATATATATATATATATATATATATATATATATATATATATATATATAAGTAAATCACTGTGTTTGCTAAGTATATGCGACACAGGAGAATAAAATGAAATTCCCAAGCACTTTTGCGTAATTCACATCTTCAGATGTGAATTACACGAAAGTGCTTGGGAACTTCATGTTTTCTTCTTTCCTTGTGGTTATTAGCATATATATATATATATATATATATATATATATATATATATATATATATATATATATATATATATATATATATATATATATATATATATATATATATATATATATATATATAATATTTGATCTAGTAATTCTTTCGATATTGGTCACATATCTATGGCTCTTATGTGAGGAAATACATAACTACTTTTGAAAAAAGTACTGTTTTTAAGTGTTTAGAAGTGCACCTGTTATCAGTCTTTTTACAATATTGATAAGTCATAAAATGTAAACTGATCTGAAGGAGAGATTAATTATATGAGGATATATTTGGTTTTGTATTATTAATGCAAAATAAAGTTGATTGCTTGATTGATATAGATTTATAGTAACATATAGAGCTTAACTATAACTTATGTGTGGTGTGGTGGAGTGGATGAAGAGGAATACACTAAGGTGGTATGGACATGTGCCGAGGATGCATGAAGACAGGCTGACAAAAAAGGTTTATGATAGCAAGAGAGAGAGGAATGTTGGGAGGGGTAGACCAATTGCCACCTGGGAGAAAAGAGTTAGAGAGTTTGTTGAAGAGAGAGCAGGAAGGAGAGGAAAAGTGTTTGAGTGAGCAAGTGAGGTGTACAAGGATAAAATGCCCTGGATACACTTCTGCCATGGCCACCCCCTGTTGGGGAGTTCCCGGGAGGGAACAAAGCATCGGCGATATTGATTGATTGATCAAAACAGAGGTGCCGGAGGAGAACTCCGGTGAGCTCCGGCATCACTACACCCCTTCATACAGTACAATAGTGATATCTCCATAAGCCGGAGCAATTGGTGCTGACCACTTCCAGGAATGAGAGATTTCCAAGAAATGAGACGACTCTCTCAAAGCCGGAAAAAATTCCTCATCCCCGTAATTGTCAGGGAAAGGGAAAATTTTCTCGGAAGTTCTAGTAATTGTGCATTACATTATCTCTCGAACCCGGAAAGAAATCCCCCATCCCCGGAATTTTTCCGGGTACCAGAATTTTCTCTAAATTTCCCAGAACGATGCATTATTTTATATCTCAAAGCCAGAAAAAAATCCCCCATCCCTGTAAATTTCCGGGTACCGTAAAAATGTTCTCGGAATTTCTAGAAAATAACCCTGATTTTCACCTCTCAAACCCGGAATAAAAATCCCACATCCCTGGAATTTTCTATAAATTTCCGGGTACAGTACCAGGAAAATTTTCTCGGAATTTAAAAAAAATGTACCCTTTGAAAAATCGCTCCCAAAGCAGGAATTTTCTGGAAAATTTCGGCTTTGGTATTGATTTTCCGAGAAAATTTCAATTCCGGCTATCGGAGAGTTCCTGGATTCCGGCTTACGGAGATATTCCTTATATTGTCTATAAACAAAATATACTATTGTAGTGTACTGTATATACTGTACTGTACTGTACTACTCACAAACAGATGCTGTCATCTTGAACATGTGATGCAGGCAGACCAAATGGTGATAAGATGACAGCTGGTACTAACTATCACTATCCTCTCCCTCCGTGAAGGAGAGAGGCAACACAAGAGTGACACGAATAATTTCCACTGCTGACGAAGTGCTTGGTCGTGTGGATACGTTGATGATAAAGTATGTGGTGATAAGGGTGGTAGCCGTAATATAACCCAGGGCTACAGTATATCTACATGTGTATCTTTGTGTATGGTGATAGAAAATATATCTGGTTATTGTCATCAGATTTAAGTTTATTATGGTTAGTTATTATTCAAATTTTTGCAGGTTGTGAGTTCATTCTCAGCATGGAGAAGTATAAAGTGTTGGAAGCTATAGGCCAGGGGTCATTTGGTCGAGTGTTTCGAGGAAAATGTTTATCTAAGGGACAAACTGTGGCACTGAAATTTATACCCAAGAGGAACAAAGTGGAGAGAGAGCTGAAGAGCTTGAGACGTGAATGTGAAATTCAGAGAGGGGTGGCACATCCAAACATTGTCCGAATGATTGATTCATTTGAGACAGAAAACGAGGTTGTAGCTGTCAGTGAATATGTTCCTGGACAACTTTTCCAACTGTTGGAATCTAATGGACCCTTGAAGGAAGAAAAGGTTCAGCAGATTGCCTGCAATTTGGTGTCTGCCATATATTATTTGCATTCCCACCGAATTCTTCATAGAGATATAAAGCCTCAGAATATTCTGCTATCATCAACTGGTGAAGCAAAGCTTTGTGATTTTGGGTTCTCAAGAAAGATGGGAATTAACACTTATGTCCTCACTTCAGTAAAGGGTACACCATTATATATGGCACCAGAGCTAATTGAAGAAAAACCATATGACCATAATGCTGATCTTTGGTCTTTAGGATGTATTCTCTATGAGTTATTAACAGGGAAACCACCATTTTGTACAACATCTATTGTTCAACTAATCAAAATGGTAAGGACAGAGCCAGTGTCATGGCCACAGGGATGGAGTGAAAACTGTAACAGCTTTCTGCATGGATTACTTGAAAAAGATCCAGCAAAGAGGCTAACTTGGCCCCATTTGCTTGAGCATCCTTGGGTTCATGAAGGGTTAGTGTTTGTTCAGCAATCTCTAAATGGCATACCACTCACAAATCCTTTAACACTATCACAGCAGCAGGTCAAAGAACAGCAGTGCAAGGAGCTGGTGCAACGAGCTGCTGGCCAAACAAGAATGATTGGTAAACCTGTAATGAAAAAAGTTTTGTCTCCAACAAAAACAAATTCTGTATTGCTTAGTTCTAGGGTAGCATCAAATTTACCTGGTGCTGTAGGAATAGCTATGACAGTTGAGCCATCTGCTGTTAAGAATGCTCAGGTTCAATATGAGAGACAGAAAGGTGACATTTTGCCTCATATAGATGTAGATGTTCTGAAGAAACTTGCAGAAGTTCATCTTGAAACTGGTATGTGTAATCCAAGGGACTCTGACACTAGGTCCTCTTCTCCACTCCAGATGAGACGAAGAGAGAGAGAGAAAATGATTCCGGTTAATTTATCAAGTTCAAGTGATGGAACAGCTCAGAGCATGGATGGTATATCATCTATTAGAGACCCTTTGCACACAACTGTTGTAGAGGTTGAGGTCCATAAAAGTGCATCATCTACAGAATCAGTACCTTTAGTTCCGAGTCTAAAGGACTTAGAAACTGATGCCAGATGTGTAATTGGTGCATCTGTTCGGAAGCTTAGCAGGTTTTCCCAGGAGCCTGGATTCAAGGAGGAAGATGTAAAAGACTTTCAGATGTTTGGTCCAATGCCTTTAGAAGACCGTAAGGATAGCATGGTAAACTACTTAGCAAACTCTATTGACTCTTCCAGACGTGGAAGTAGACCTTCCAATGGAATGTTAGAATTGATGCAAGATGGACGACCAAGTTTACCAAATATAAATGAGGAAAGCTTCACTCCATTTACCCAAGATAGAGTTCTAACAGTTATGAGTGGCAAGACTAGTAGTGCAGCAGTTTTCACCCTACATAGCTTCAACTCTGAAGATAAACCAATTGAAACAGAGGAATGGTGTAGATTTTTGGACAAGACTCTCGCTGATACTCTCAATGGAAATTACAGTATTTTTCTTGAACAAAGTGAACTGTCAATGTTTATCTCTCCACTTAGAAATCAAACTTGTTCTCTACAGGTAACAAACAAAATAGTGACTTTGCTGCTGTTGCCCTTTACCATGGAGGAAATGAAGCATAAAATTGCAGATGTAGTTAAAGTGTATCTTGAGTGTAAACTTGTTCCAAATTTGATATATGCTTGTAAATTGATATTCAAGGAAGAAGCTCACAAACTTAATAGAACAGTTGAATTTGATAAGGATCAGATTGATACTATGGGACAACTTACTCTACTAATCTGCCATCTTGTTCACCTTGAAAGAGATTTTCTATTACAGTTCTGTGATTGTGTGTGTGTACTAAATGCCATCAAAGTAATTGGGAAGATACTAACCCTAGACAGTGTGTTACCAGAATTAGTTGCAGACATGCTAGCTGTGCTTAATCAAATTTTAAGGTTAACTCCAGAAAATAAATCAGTGGTAGAACAGATTATTGGTACAAATGAATCGGTGATCCTCCTCTTAGGCACACTGATTACCCTCAAAGTACCTCTTGTGAGAGCCAGACTGTGCACCTTGATTGGATACTTAGCAAAGTGTTGTCCCTCAGTGTCTAAACTGTTTGAGGGTCAGCATAAGCTGATTTGTGATCTGATAAACCTGGAGAGTGATCTTGTACCCCAAGTAAGAAAATCAGCCTCCTTTGCTGTTTCATGTCTGCAGGCATATACAGAACTTATACCAGATGATTCCTGCCCATGACTGGTAACCTTTGAAGATGTAATTACAGCAAGATAATCTGCAGGGCTTACATGTTACTTCACAGTGTAAGTATTTTCCTCTTATCTTCCATTAGTAATTTACTAAGTACTTCACTATTTAGGGTGTATGTAGTTAAGAATTATATTGTCATTGCAAGTACAGGATATGAGATTTTGAGAATTATCCACAGTACAGTATTATCATAACTTTACTGGATAACAAAAAGCAACCCATGTGTCTGTTGGGAATGAAATACATATTGTACTGCAGTCAGTCCTCGACTTATGACGGGGTTCCGGACCGACGACCTGGTCGAATTGGTAGTAAGTCGAAAATGCGAAAATAATATATAGAAAATCTAAAATGAAATACGGTACAGTAAAAGTAATCAATAATGAAAAATTAATAAAGTGTTACTGTGCACTTACCTTTAATGTAGTCAGCTGAATGCACACAGCGCCTCAATAATTTTTTTAATTAAACATGGAGACTACGTTAATTGGATGAAGCAGAGGAGGAGAGGGCTGGGTGGGTCATCAATTTCACTTTCTTCAGACAGGCTAACATGCTTGCTTGTTGAAGGTATTGGATCATCTTTAGGGAGTGAAGAGGCAGCATTGGTGGGGCGTGAGAAGACAGCAGTGGGGGACTTCTTAAAATATATGTCCAATTGACTGCACAGTTTGCCTTTTCTTTTCATTGTAAATCTCCCTGTAGCAAGCAAGTGCATCTTGGATCTGTCTGTCAACTTTTGCAAAACGCTCAACATTTTGATCCATTTCTTCAAACATTTGCATCCCCTTATTAATAGTAGCAAATGCCTCTGCCTTGTCCTTCAAAATTGTTGATATCGTCGAGTGAGAGAAGCCAAGGTCGCGTGAAATGGTTGCTACCGTTTTTCCATTTTCATATTGCATTATTATTTTCATTTTAATCTCAAAAGTAATTGACTGTCTCTTTTCCTTCTGAGCACCACCAGAACTCTCACTTTTACACTTGCCAATCATTTTAAAGGGAAATAGAAACGAAAATTTTGTCAGTATACAGCGCAATCACTAAGACCAACGACGGCCAAACACCACCTGAGCGGGCTATTGCGTGGATGCTGTACACCACGAGGCGGCCCAGCCCACACCACTCTGTCGAATGGGACGGAAACGTTTTGGTACTAGAAAATATGTACGTAATTTTTTTTATGCGACTGCGGCGGTCGTATGTCTGGGTGGTCGTAAGTCGAGGAGTACCTGTAATAGAGAAATCTTTCAAGTCTCTTATTACAGAGTTAGAGTTATAGTAGACCTTCAGTGTTTCCTCACTGACTCTTGGGGTGGCCAGGGCTCTTTCCTTTACAGATGCATCCTTTGTCTTCAAACTGCTTACACTAAACATAAATTGATTTTGTCATGGTGGTTCTTTCCTGCATTAACCTCAAAACCCACATGGATTGCTTTTTATAACAGTTTAAAACTGTTAACTATATTCTGAATGCTATAACCCAGTACATAAAATATTAATGCTTGTAATGATTTTGTTGGAATTCAAAGAGAGTTTTTCTGAGTTTTCACAGTACTGTAATAAAATTTTGCTCTCATTTGTTTCAAATCCTTTTCTTTTTAAGCAGATGTAGCAGTTGTAGCTCCTGGACTTGCAGCTTCACCAATATGAAGGGACATAACTTCAAACTCACTAAGTTATTAAGCAGAACAAACATAAGGAAATACTACTTCACACAAAGGGTGGCAGACTTATAGAACAGACTACCAGCTCAAGCTGTAGAATTGAGAACAGTAATGGGCTTCAAACTAGCCTTAGATAAAACTATCACTATCAAGAAAAATGGAGTGATTCTACACAGGCCATTGGCCTCCTTCCCACAGAAAGGCCACTTCTCGTGGGTGGGCATTAGATAAATAAAGTAAGTTGGTATTGAAACACATTCATAAAACAGCAGAATCATTGATAGGCTTTTTTTTAAAAAGTGCATCAGGTATTACCGAAATGAGTAAATTTCATAGTGTTTAAAAATTTAGGGTCAACCAGTTGTTACCAGCAGAGTTTGTTAAGAGCAAATACTGTACCACTCAGAGTTCACTACACTCATACAAAGGAACTGTAGACTTTAACTAAATTTGAACCGGATTTCACAAAATTTGCAGAGGATATTCAATCTCATATTTCATAAGAGTCTAGTAACCATTACCTTTGTGTTATTGAATGTGAAGCTTAAGTTTCTGTTGTATTAATATTTATCGTTACCCATTAGGTTACTTGAATTATTGTTCTGTACACCACTATACAGTACTGTATACTTATCTGAACATGTAACTTCGTTTTTTATTTAATGTATTAATGCCCAAATTCTGGTTCTATATTTCAGAAATTTAATATTCATTACATAATATTCATTACACTGTGTGAAGGTTGCAGACAGTTACTGATATCTTGTTTGTATTGTGGCTGATTATTATAGAAGGGTTGTAGACCCAGATGTGAGGTATCAGTTTTGTGGCTGATAAAAGAAACAAAATATTTAATATCCTTTATAAGGGTAGACAGAATTTTTTGTAAAACATCCATAGAAGAAATATCCAGAATTATTAATCAACAGTTAACCCTGAACCTTCAACTTACTGTCCACTCCTCCCAGTGTAAATGAACTTATTCTCCCTCATCACACAGTATGAGGAGGCTGTTATATTATCCCTGCACCCAACTGATTATTCTGTATTAATTATTTTTATATATCTACAAACATGTAACTCCAACAAAATGTACAGTAATTTTTTGTATGCTTTCTTGAATCTTTATACTATGCAGTACAAACTAAAATGTTCATCCCTGGCAAATGAATAAATATATGTGTGAAAATTAGAGCATACACAGAATAATGTTATGTTTATTTACCTTGTGAGTGATACTGAGTTCTTACAGTAAATATCTGATCTTTTATCTGCAAAGGAATCTGATGTGAGTGAGATACGAGGAGTGCTGCCACTGCAGTGATATCCCCTTTAACCGGAACAATTAGTGCAGAGCACTTCCGATTAAGAGGGATTCCGGCTATTAGAGATATTACTTCACTTATATCTATTAACTGTCTCTTACAGGATCATAATCACTGTTATATTCCTCTCTCAGAGTTATCTGTAAAATTATATCACTTTCTAAGTTCAGTAATTTACAAACTCATCTTCCATATCAGAGGTGTCTGTTAGGGGCCATGACTAAAGGGAATTAAGTACCTCTCACCCGCACAGAGGACAAGATCACGCTGTGCATCAACACCATATTCAAGCATGTAAGGGGGGTTATTACTGTACTGTATAATACTATTTTCTAAAAACAATTGGTCCTTGGCAGTAATGTTCTGCTGCTGACTCCGACCTCCACACACTACCTGTAGCTATGTAAAACTTTATACCTTATGATAATTATTTATGATATGACACAAGGTGAGCTATAAACACTGCAGGAGACAGTGAGTCATGAACACTGTGACACAGGGTGAGTTATAAACACTGCAGGAGACAGTGAGTCATGAACATTATGATACAGGGTGAGTTATGAACACTGCAGGAGACAGTGAGTCATGAACACTATGACACAGGGTGAGTTATAAACACTGCAGGAGACAGTGAGTCATGAACATTATGACACAGGGTGAGTTATAAACACTGCAGGAGACAGTGAGTCATGAACACTATGACACAGGGTGAGTTATAAACACTGCAGGAGACAGTGAGTCATGAACACTATGACACAGGGTGAGTTATAAACACTGCAGGAGACAGTGAGTCATGAACATTATGACACAGGGTGAGTTATAAACACTGCAGGAGACAGTGAGTCATGAACACTATGACACAGGGTGAGTAAACACGGCAGGAGACAGTGAGTCATGAACATTATGACACAGGGTGAGCTATAAACACGGCAGGAGACAGTGAGTCATGAACACTATGACACAGGGTGAGTTATAAACACGGCAGGAGACAGTGAGTCATGAACATTATGACACAGGGTGAGCTATAAACACGAGACAGTGAGTCATGAACACTATGACACAGGGTGAGTTATAAACACGGCAGGAGACAGTGAGTCATGAACACTATGACACAGGGTGAGTTATAAACACGGCAGGAGACAGTGAGTCATGAACATTATGACACAGGGTGAGCTATAAACACGGCAGGAGACAGTGAGTCATGAACACTATGACACAGGGTGAGTTATAAACACGGCAGGAGACAGTGAGTCATGAACATTATGACACAGGGTGAGTTATAAACACTGCAGGAGACAGTGAGTCATGAACATTATGACACAGGGTGAGTTATAAACACGGCAGGAGACAGTGAATCATAAACACTATGACACAGGGTGAGCTATAAACACGGGGAGACAGTGAGTCATGAACATTATGACACAGGATGAGTTATAAACACTGCAGGAGACAGTGAGTCATGAACACTATGACACAGGGTGAGTTATAAACACTGCAGGAGACAGTGAGTCATGAACACTATGACAATAGGTGAGTTATAAACACTGCAGGAGACAGTGAGTCATGAACACTATGACACAGGGTGAGTTATAAACACAGTACAACATGGTTTGAGTCATGAACATAGCAGCTCATGAATAAATACACCACAATATACTTGAACACCACAATACACAGACGCATTCCACAACATGCATGAACACACAATGACACAATACAACACACATGAACACACAATGACAATACAACACACATGAACACACAATGACACAATACAACACACATGAACACACAATGACACAATACAACACACATGAACACACAATGACACAATACAACACACATGAACACACCACAACACATGAGCACAACACATCACAAACATAAACACAACACACGTGACCACCACACCACACAGTACAACTCACTGTAGCTCCAGAAACCCATTAACACCGAGGGGTGTAATCAGTGCGTTGAGTTAGACTGCTAGAGGATATGTGTCCAATGTTTAAATCGTGCAGCCGGGGCGAGGAAACTCTCTCTCTCTTTCTTGCTCTCTCCCCCCCCTCTCTCTCTCTCTCTCTCATCCTTTCTATGTGTTTGGTTCTCAGTCACTCTTTCTGTTTTTTGTCTGCCTTTGTCTCCCTGCCATGCGTAATATACATACATTCAGGCAAATTTGCATGTAAGCACACACACACACACACACACACACACACACACACTACTATTACTACTACCCGGTACCACTTTTCGCATTATACACAGGCAGATTTTCATAACAGATAGATCATGGTTACTCAAGCACTATTTGTGAATGTCCAGTCACACAAATTTCCAAGGTGGTAAAGTTCCAGATGAGAGACTTCATTTAAAATTACGTAATGACAAACAAAATAAGACTACACATTACGATTTATTTCCGACTACATGCGTTTATATAATCTCAAAATGTGTTGTCGATGTAAATTAATTAAATGAATGAATTACTGTAGTTCCATGTAAAAAGAATAAAGCGAAGTCATGGTATGTATACAGTCAGGTCAACAGTAACCAATTCTTTGTAACTCAATAAAATACTGCAGGTCATAGTATGTCTTGTGGGTCTTTCATTAACTGATTAGGCTTCATTCGTGCTTCTTGCCTAATTTTCGTACAAATCTGAGTCAATGGTAAATATGTACTGTTTTTTGTTGATGTTCGAGAGAGGTGGAATTTCAAGGTGGAGAAAGTAGACTGACAATATTAAGTGGAACCAAACATTATGGACATAAATATTGCTATTTTGTACAGATGAGGGAAACAACACCACTTTATCTGTGTCACCCACTTATAGAGATGTGACTGTAGCAATTCATCATTCCAGGCTACTATCGCTTCCTGTATCCGTTGTCAAGCGTCTGTCGCCATAGGACTTTTGGGGGTTCAGGGGTTACGATGATAATGGGGAGTGTGATGAGTTGGATGATGGTTATGGGTGAGTTATGTGGTGAAGCAGGAGTGTATAGGCTGCAACCACACATCTTGGTTCTCCATTATCCTGATCCAGTGGTGCCGGTAACTGCAACAACTATGGATAGGGAAAGTTGCAATGGACTGTTGATAGCCCAATTTGTTGGTTTCACTTTGGTAATCTGTCCATCTTGCATTGTCTTCATCCGCTGGTGTAGTCACTGGGTTCCCGTGTTGGTCACCTCTTCTGCCTATACCGCCGCTGGGGTCTTACTGGAGCTCTATAGACATTTGCTGCCTTGACCAATTGACTGCAGCGATTACCAGGTGATGTTATTTTCCATTGTCTGCCTTACTGAGCCCAAGCCGGTTAAAAGATTCTCTCTCCACACACACACACGTTTTATCTGTTTTCTTAAATATTCACAGGAACACGGCTTCGGACGAGTCTCTCTTGAATATTCATACATGGCGCCACATCTTATCCATTTATCATAATGACTGTGATAAATAGCGTCATGATCTAGCTATTCTTGTTGACAATGTAATCTTGTTTATCCTTTAACTATCAGCGAAGCAAAGGTCAGATATAATGTCTTGCGTCCACCAGGTGTTACCAATCCCATAACAGAAATATTCTCTCCTTGTCAGTCTTAACAGTGACGCATTGCTGTAAGGCCGTTTGTGAGGGCAGCCAGTGTCCAGGCCACCCAGTATCGTAGGTTTGACGTATATTGTTAGAAGCTTAGCTTCTTAGAGATATTTCACAGCTTGTGTGTGTGTGTGTGTGTGTGTGCGCGCGCCTTATGAGTTTACAGGGTGAGCGTGTAGTGGATACTCTCCCCTACAACTGCCGATTTGTCACTTGCCGTCCGCTTACCAGCCAACCAGCGGCGAGTTCCACAGACCAAGCCTCGCTTTCGGACTGCGTGGTGATTGGCCAGTTACCGCCTTTCACCTCAGCCAATCAGCAGCGCCGCTCACTTCCGGTAGAATCGTATAAATATCCCCAGCCTTCGCGCAAGCAACTGAACCTCCTTGTCCTGAGGAAGTTTTTTGACTCCTCAGGAATCACGGGGGTGACAAGGGTCGTCCGCAGAGACAGCGGTGGCCTTATCGTCACCTTCGCGGAATGGGGAGAGGCCCAGCAATTAGAAAACCTAAGAGAAATCAACGGGATACAGATCCTAGTTGAAACCTGCATAGAGGACAACTTGGTTTTGGGAGTCATCTCCCACACAGAAATTGAACATCTAGAAAAAGAAGAACTGGCCGAGCTGATCGGAGACCAGCTCTCAATAGCACGGAAGCTGACCAGTACAACTGCACTGGTTGGCTGCCACAAGAAACTTCCAAGCACCGACTTGCTGGGATGGGAGAAGGTCCCAGTAAGACCATATGAAAGAAGGCCTACAAGATGCTACAAATGCCAGAGGTACGGCCATCTGGCGCGGAAGTGTCGTGCTCGAGAGGTCTGTTCCAGCTGCGGGACACCCGGGCACCAGGACACCAACTGCTCGGCGGCCGCCAAGAAGTGGGCAGCTTGTGGTGGCCCTCACTCCTCCTCCGACCGGGAGTGTCCCAAGTGGAGGGAGGAGTGTAGGGTGGCTAAGCTGCGAAGTAAGGAAAAATTGAGCTACAAGGAGGCTCTCCTTGTAGTGAAAACTGCAGTAAAGAAGAATCAAGACCCGAACAAGACCACAACAAATAAAAATCAAGACCCCAAGAAGACCACGGAAAAAGAAGAAGCCAAAATTAAACCCGATTTTATAACACTATCAGCAATCCCGTTTATACACGTGTACGAAAATCTTCCAGAACAAGACCAAGAAGAAGAATGAAAATTGAAAAGTAAAAGAAGAAACAAGAAAAGGAAGAAGTCCAAAGAAAATGAGTCTTCAAACAAACAGCTTCGGCCGAAATAGCCTA